CATAGTAATTTTACAATTACAACCCACCTGGAAATTCCGGTAGAAAATGGCACACAAAAGCAAGCACGTAGGATGAGGCTCGACTCCTCAAACACCTACATTTAAGCGAGATATTTTATCAATAATTATCTCACTACTCGAATTTAACATAAAACCCATACTTAATAAAAATTAAGATTTACGGGTTTTAATCGGATTTTTCGTGGACTGGAACTCTCTCATTTTTAAAAAATATGACTCGGAGAAGTAAATTGGGGTCTCGGAACTTAAAATAATTTTCTCAAATTTTTCTACTTTAAAAAAAAATTTAAAAATAAGTTCGGGTCGAAAAACGGGCCCCGAAACACAAAATTTGGCTTAAAAACGAACTGGGCCCAAGCTGCCAAGCATTAGTCAAAACTGTCCTACTTGGGCCGCACACATTGCAAACTGGGCCAAAAAAGGACTCTCAAATTGGGCTGAAAAGAGGCTGGAATTAGCTGGAAAAAACACGGGCTGAAGCGGGCTCGCGGGCCTACACTGAGGGGGAGATGATCGGGCCGAACGCGGGCCGATGTGCGGGCCAAGAAGCCCGCGCTGCTGGGAGCTGGGGGAAGAAAAAAAAATAAAATGCCTACTACTCACGGCCAGAGGGATCGAACCCAGGACCTATATCACATAAAAGGGGTATCGGCACCACCATGCCACACGACTGTTTACAATCGTAAATGAAATTTTAAGTTATTAACTTAGCAGAAGCCTGCGACCTTAAAGAAAACTGAACAGAGAACAGAGTTGCTAATAACATTCCCAGGAAAAATACAAGTTTGCTCGGGACACAAAACGGCAATTACACGGCTCGAAAAACGATAAAGCAAGACCCCGAACTTAAAGGATTTTACCACAGCTACCTAACGATATACACGTTTATGAAATCGAAAGTTCCAATCATCCTCGAAAATCCACGAATATACGAAATATACGCACAAATCAACAATTAAGCCGAATGAAATTCAACTCCAAATCAACTTTCGGTAGACCGAACACAAAATATATATAACATGCGATATATGAAAACGAACGCAATAAAGAGAGGGTTCGAACGAGTTACCCGACTTCGGGAAACTACAAGTGATTGAAGGGGAAACGGGCCCGACAGCGGGTCGGACAAACAGCTTCTCGGTACCCTCAGACGTCGGACAGAAACCTCGAAGTGCGGGACCGAGATTGTTGCTCACGAACGGAGAACGATTCTGGCCTCGACGACGTGCGAACTGCCGCTGAGGAGGACGACAGTGAGCTGAACTTCGCTTGAATTAATGGCAGTCGGGCTGCTGGACGAGTTCTTGCCGGAAGGGCTGAAGTGTACGAAGATTGAAGGTCCTTAGGTGCTTTGCGGAAAGGACCACTGCTCGAGAATGGTATCTGCCGCTCGAGAACGATGGCCGCCGGAATCAATGGCTGCTTCACCCGAATTGCAGGTTTGCGAATTCTTTTTTATTTTTTTTTTTATTTTTCTATTATTTTTTTTTTTTTTGCGAACAAAGTGAGAGAGAGATAGGTGGAAAGGATGCGACAGTTATGGCCGAGTACTCTCTTCGGTGGAGATATAAGGGATGAGGGAGCGATGATCGTGCGAGGAATCTCCATCTCAATCGGAACAAAATTTCAAACAGGAGAGAAGAGAAGGACTCGGTCTATTCATCGTGAAGGAGGTGAACTGAAAAGGCTGCAAAGTTGTAATCTCATGGACCAAAAATAAATTGTCATAAAGGTCCAATTGTTTTAACTGGTTTGGGCTGGAAAATTACAATGGGTCCAAACAAATAACATAGTAAAAAGTATTGGAATTAAATTTCAATTGGGACGAGATTTATATTCGAGGAATAACATCGAACAAATCGCGCGACGACGAATATGTTAATCCGGAATATATATATATACATATATGACACACAATAATATTTTAAAATAATAATATTACTAATAAAAATATGCATTTAAACAAATAATTATAATTTGACAAATAAATATATATATATATAAACATTTAATTATAATAATAGTACTATTACTAATAACAAATAAATAATAGCAATTTGACAGTTAATAGCAATTATAATAATAATAATTATAATGATAATAATAATAATGGAGACAAATTAATAATAACAATAATCAATAATTATTCTCCAATGATTCAAAATGAAACGGGGTATTACACTGATGTACTTGCAAACTTGCACGAGGCCTGATATTAGCTTCGCTGTTGGAATGCTTGGCTGATATCAAAGTAATCCTGGATTGGATCACTGGAAAGCTGCAAAGAAAGTGATGAGATACCTTCAGGGGACGAAGGATCATATGCTCACATTTAGGAGATCTGATTGCCTTGAGGTGATTGGATATTCAGATTCAGATTTTGTTGGGTGCCTTGACAGTCGCAAGTCAACGTTTGGCTATGTTTTTCTCCTCGCCGAATGAGCAATTTCATGGAAAGGTGCCAAACAGTCTGTCATAGCTGCATCTGCTATGGAGGCTGAATTTGTGGCTTGTATTGAGGCTACAATTTATGCATTATGGCTGCGGAACTTTATTTCGGGACTTGGGGTTGTCGACACCATTACCAAGCTGCTGAAGTTGTATTGTGATAATTCCGCAGCAGTTTTCTTCTCCAAAAACAACAAATATTCCAAAGGTGCAAAACACATGGAATTAAAGTACTTTGCCGTTGAGGAGGAAGTTCAGAAACAAAGAGTGTGCATTGAACATATAAGAACAGACCTTATGATTGTCGATCCGTTAACTAAAGGTCTACAACCAAAGACATTTAAAGAACATGTACATAGAATGAGTGTTGGTTGTATTGATGATTGATTATGATGATGTTATGGCACACTCTTGAGCTCATTGATGTTATGTTTCTGACTATTATCGAATTTCTTGTTCATTATGATTTTGTATGCATTATGTTTAGAACAAGAAATGAATGTCTTCATGACAATTAAGTGGACCTTATGATATTTATATATAATTATGGAACTTGATGTGTTGAACTATTAGTGTAGTAGTATATGGAAGGAAGTATGCGAATCGAGAGTGTACAACCGCCATAAATCTCGCTATATGGTTTAGCATGTCATAGTTTATTATGATGTATGGCATAATGAGATTTGTTAATGTGCACCAAAAGTTATACTATTAAATTATGGGCTTTCGGACCAAGTGGGTATGTATGAATATGTGGCCCGAAAACATTGGACTCACAATTAATTATCCTATTAGGCCAGACCTTATTTAATAGTCAAACAAATGTAATGGGATAATTAAAAGATCTATTATAATTTCTTTGAGCCCAATTAGAACTAAATTGGCTAACTAGAAATAAAAAAGGATTTGGAATTCCAAAAGGACAATCATAACAAGCAAAGCAGGAAGTAAAATGCCATGAATGCACAATGCAACTGAAACCGAGGACATAAATAACATCACACACACTGTGCATACGGAGACAGAAACGGGTGTATGCAGTAACAATAAATTGTAGTAGCAGAAAAGAGAACCTGAAATTGAAAGGGGTTTTTTTTGGGGGGGAAGTGTGTTCCAAGACACAATCATTACATTGGTCCTGGGGGAGCAAAAAGTTTCGGGGCGTGCAAATTAGCTATAACACATAATTAAATTATAAAAAAAAAAAAAATTGTTTTTAAAAAAATGAAAGCGCATGTTATGGAACAACGTGGAAAAACCTATCCACGCTTTCTATCATCACAAACACATACAAACTATAAAATAAAATAAAAATAGTAAAAGAAAGATAAATAAGATAATGAAAATTGAAAATAATAATAATAATAATAATAATACCACACTATAGACCCAGGGTATGCTTTTTATTATTACCTCTACTTGTCTTTGGGTCGACAATCTGCGTGTAGTGTTCACTGTGTTTTAAATCTCTTTCTCTCTCTCTCCTCAAATTCTTACTTTGTGCGGCGTATGCATACACCTAACACCAGCACAGCACTCAGAGAGTGTAATTATAAGCCTTTAACCAATCGCAAAGCAACATACATATATATCATATATGCCATATTATGATATTTTGCATATTATGATCATATTGTGTGAGAGAGAGAGACTGAGTGTGTGTGTGTGAGAGAGAGAGATTGAGTGTGTGTATGTGTGTGTGTGAGAGAGAGAGAGACAGAGAGATTGAGTGTTTGTTTTTGTGTGTGTGTGAGAGAGAGATGAAAAAAAAAAACAAAAAAGAGTGCCGTAAGCAGAAAGGAAAGAAGATCATCAGTACTTGCATACTAAGGTGGGTAGTGGTGAGAGAAAAAAATAATAATAATAATAATAATATTAAACCTAAAAGATATATACCAACAAAAAACAATGGAAAAGGAGAGGTGGGTTTGGGGGTAAGGATAAAAAGGGGTGGTGTTTTTTCTCTTCACACTACTAAAAACCACCATCACCATAAAAGAATTAAAGCTCTGCCACAGATCAATTAAGAACAAGGTAAGCAAGAAAAGTCACAATTTTTAACCAAAGGTCTGTTCTTTCTACTCTATCTCTCTCTTTTCACTCCACTTTTGTGTTTTTGATTTGATTTCTTGAATATATACTAATTTTACCCCCTCACACTTATATGTTCTCTTCTTTTCACCTTTGTGTTTAAGAAAGAGGGTATGAGTATGAAAAAACTCTAAAGTCATTGATTTCAGGCCTGTTTCTTTAAGGCCTAGCACACACCATTTCAACC